AATTTTTCTTACCATGTGATATTACAACTAATAAATATCGAAGACTATATAATGAATGTAATATTATTGTATATTAACTTAAAAATATGCCATTATGTTGCCTACATTCATTTCAAAAAGTCAATTATGTAGGACTGATTCTATCTATGTAAAATACAATTGCTTACAATTCTACTAATTAAGTACACGTACATATGTTGCGCGCCATTTTTTATGTTGATTGTCAATTAACATATTAAAAGTACCCAGTATATATTTTTCATTCAGTTTTGTCAGTCTTCAATGTTTACACCAACTGGTGTTTTTGTTTATAGAGATATAATATGAATTGCCTCTGGGTACACATAGTCACTTTACGGTATGGCATTTTTAAATTTCACCTCTTGAAAAATAACCTGGGCGATTCTTAATGCAGACAATGAGACTAAATGTAATATACTATTGATAATAATATGTAATTCATATTTATTAATGACATTACTAAAGATAATAAATTTAAGTAGTTCTTCGGTTTCATTTTTTTAAATTATATTTGAATCGATCTTTTCATTACATTTGAATCGACTTTTTTTATTCATTACTAGATGTTAGACCTATTAATATAGCACGGTCACTATTGATCATGAGTATTACACAATTTACGTTATAAATCACTTTCTTTTTATTTCGTCATTATTCATTTGCACGATGAATACATCACCCACACTTATATTATATTGCACTATACGAATTAAAGGGGTTTTAAAAAAATAAATAAATATTATAATTTATGATCAATGACCACTGTGCTATATTATATAATTAAATGACAGATTAAATTTAACTTTTTTTTTTTTTACAATATATAATCAATTATAATGGACAATTTTCCCAACAATCCACGAACAATCTATGTTTCCTTTACATAATACACAAGATGTAAAAGGTAGACCAGTAGCGCGTGAATAAACATCAAATATCAAACAATCATTCTAACAGTTATTTATAGTTATTATCAAATAATCATTCTAACGGCACTTTATGAGTTGGTGTTAAATAATTATGGTTAGCGTTAAATAATCATCCTAACAGCTCTTTAAGGTTAGAATTTAACGTTTGGATTAGAGTGGTTGTATAATATATTGAAATTTTCACGAGGAAATTCTGTTAAAAACATAAAAGACAGTAACAAATTATTGTCACATTATACTTAATGAAATGTCTTACTATATATAATATAAGAGTCGAAGAAAAGTCCATGAAGTTAATAAAGATTAGCTTAATGGTTGCTGTTTTTATAATTTTATGAATTATAAATTAAGCCTATGTCTGTTTGCATACGTACAAATATGTATTAGCATTATTGTCATTTATTTGCCATTTTATGTCATTTATAAAAATATTTTTTATGACTTGTCATTTTTCCATGGTTTTGTATAAATTTTTTTATATACATTTTCAAAAAATTTTTATGGCCTGTCATTTACCACTGGTGTGGCAATTCTTGAATGTGTGCCAGGTTTATGGTGCATGATCTCTTTTATTTTGGTATATACAGTGCATTCATAAAATTTATTTTTCAACGAAAACTTTCACCATGTATTTCACCAACCGCCCTGTACTTTGAATGTTTTCTATATTTCTTTTGTGAATTGAAGACGTAACAGAAATAATATAATTTTTGAAATTTTTAGTTCTTTCATTATAAAAAAGTACCATTATAAAGAGAGTTGACCATACTTAATATGTAAGTAGAGTATATTACAGTAATTTCGGAAGTATGTGAGGTTAACAAAACTTATAAAATTTAGTTTTAAAAGTGATCCGCCTTTAACATTAAGAAAACTACTAGATTCAGCATAGATTATGAGAAAAGTTTTCTTCATTTAAAGAAATTTTTTTATAACTTATATAGTACGCGTTTATTTGATCATACTTTTAAAGCCAATGTTTTTCTTATCGCGTGTTTTATTAAGAGCATTGACGTCCTGGTCTGTAAAAATTTTGAAAATTATAATTTATAAATATTATAAAAGAATACGAGTGTTTTTTTGAATCCAAACAATAATATTAAAAGCTAAAGATTATGAAAAAAATTGAAGGGAAACGTGCTTTTTTGAAATAACAGGAACAAGATTCGAGAGAAATAACGGTAAAATGGTATTTTCGTTCTATTAAAATTTATAATTTTATCATTGTTATCATTAGAATTTTTCAATTGGCGCAAACTATTTGAACTTGATTAATGCGCTACGCTACCAACCTGGCACACATTCAAGAATTGCACTGGTGGGTGCTGCTGGGGTAGTTATCTAAATCACTTGTATCACCACGATTAGAATTTTAAATCACATTCATTCCAATACGTACAAAACTAATATATCCATATCTAAATAGGTATTCAGTAAAGTAGTACTGTACGGCAGTATAGATTCAGACGGATGTACGTACGAAAATTATACTAAATTTTAATCGTACGTACGATTAATATATTAGACATCACTTTCAAATTTCCGTCAATTAATAATTTGACATATGTGAGTTTAAATCTTATACCAATTAAAATTAACGTACATATATTATTAAATCTAAAATATTTTTAATAAATTTAAAAGAATTTTTAAAAAAAATTTCTATTGATTTTTATTATTTTCTTTGCAAAATGGCTTCAAATGCTTTATTAGACATTTATTTTTTTTCGTTTCAAAACTTTGGAAAAATTGTTGACAGTTATGTGAATGGTCGAATGGCCGAAAGAATGAAAGAAGTATAATTGATTATTCAAAATATGATCGCTGTTTAGCTGTTTTAAATATTCAGTTGGATAAATACTGTATAACTGGTTATCCTATTGAAAATTTTATCATTATGGCACATTTGTAAAATACCCCAAAATTTGAAAATTTTGACTGCTAATACGTAAATAGTAATTTTGTTCTCAAGCGCCTTAACCTATTAGTCGGAATAGGTCGGGAAGCAAATTTTAATTAGTAAAAAAATGGTTTCTGTATTTAATATTGCAATGGATGATGTAGAGCTGTAATGGTTTAATACGTCATAGAGAAAATTTTAATTATTGGAAGACCGTTTAATCGATCAAAAGTACTTATCATTCCAATTGATAAGAAATGGAGGTCCAAACATCCTTTTTTTTCACAGAGTTGCGCTGATTGGCTAAAATTTTCCATTGATGGATTACAAAAAAATAACCGTTCAAAAACACTTTACCCTTTTACCAATATGGATCTTCAAAATTGTAATCAGCCTTATGTTAAAAAACCTTCGCTACGAATAGAAACTGAAATTTCACGAATGGCCATACTTATCATATTCTAGTCTTTATTTATCAGTTATATGGCACTATATACAACCATTCCATTCATTGTTCCTTCACAAGATGTAATGGCTCAACGTTAGCCAAAGCTAAAAGCGAAACCTAAAAATATTACAAAAATTTTCACATTCAATATTTGTTTTCTTATAGTAAAGGATCCAGAAAAAGTTGTGCCAGCTAGTTTGATGTAGCAACGTATGAAAGTTAGCGAAGTCTGAAAAGGATGAACAGAAACTGTAATTTCTGACATGGGTTTTTGGTTTCTATTGGTTCATCATCTTTTTTTTTTTACGGTTTTTTAATGGTAACGATAAGATAATAATAATAAAAGTATTTGCACAACCATCAATCGGAATCAATATTTCAATTATTGCAACGCTTGAACGTAAACACAATCACAAGTTAATTACATTGAGGAAGATACGTGAGAATACGTCAAGTACATTATCATTTGTCCTATTGATCTTTAACAAAGGCCTAATTAATTTTACCAAATCACTAACTAATTAATTGAGCATGCTACTTGAGAACACCCTAAAACTTATTTTACAAATTAGTCGTTTATTTCGTCTGATTTTTTTTTTCATTGAACCATGTAAACAACTTTTCCATATTCGACCTTCATTATTATCTGAGTAAATTTTTTTCTCGAAACAGGCTTTTACAAAGTTTGTTTTTTCAACCAGTTTGTTTTTCAGAAAAAAATTTCAAACGCATATCGTTTAGATGAAGATGATGAGTTTATGATTTCTTTACTTTGTTTTAACCCATTTATAATTAATTAATAGTAAAAACATAGAAAGCTCAACTCTTGAACCAGCAAACCTAAATAAGATTATATTTGCCGAGTTCATTATAACATGCTCTTTAATGTGACAACGTTCTTTTTTTTATTTTACATTTATTGTCTTGAGCGTAGCGGGGAATGATATAATGCCAAAATTCTCGGTTTTGATTTATTATTAACAATAACATCAAAAATGTAACTTTGAATTTTTGTGCATATTGTGACACAATATGCAATAGCTACGTTTTTGATATTTTTATAATAATAAATCAGAAACGAGAATTTTGGCATTTATATTATTCCCCCGCTACACTACGCTCAAAACAATAAAAGTAAAATAAAAAAAAGAACGTTGTCACATTAAAGAGCACGTTATAATGAACCCGGCAAATATAATCTTATTTGTGTGGGTTTGTTGGTTCAAGAGTTATTGCAGCTATGTTTTTATATTAAATTATCATTGATCTGCAGCTCACTATAAAAAATCTTGATTAGTGATTATCATTATATTACCTACACTATATTTGTAATTAGACTGATGTTGTACACCCTAACCATAAGGTGTTATATCTCAAAAACTTACTAAATAAATAAGGTTTGGGATACTAAGTAAAAATGCTCAGAACTCCCAAAACCTTATGCTAACTAAAATTTAAACATTTTATATAACTCCTACCTTACTTTATAACTGCACACTAACCTAAATTTTAGCAAAAAAAAACTTATTAACACCATAAACACCATAGGTGCATTATATATTATCTGTTATCTTTATATATGAATTAATTTCTATATTGTTGAAATGTTATAATTTTACCCATCTATAATCATGACCAATTTCTATATTGTTGAAATATTATAATTTACCATCTATAATCATGACATTAGAATTCTTCTAAACTATTGCTTTTTTTTAATTTTTTTCTTTTTATCTGAAAAACCATCAGGAATAATATCCTTTATAGTTATTATTACTCTTGCAATGTTGATGGTTATGCGGATAAGGCTAATTCGATCCTGACTCGAATTGATATTGAGCTGATCTGATAGTGGGACTAGCCTTTTTGATGATCTATCTATAGCATAAAATTGCACTAATGGACCCGCTGCTGCATAGCCCATCATAAACTTAATGTCACCAAATTTTCGTGGATCGAGAATATTAAATTTGCTGACGAGTTCACTCGCAGCAACATCAAACTGGTCTATATCTGCTTTCTTTTTCCCTTTAATGAGAAGAGCATCCTTAACCCAACAAAGAAAATCAGGCCGTTCATACCCTTTTGTTGATCCCGGATCAGATCTATTCCAATCAAGATTGATCGGTAGGCCTTTACCAAGATGTTTTTTAAAACTTTCAAGGATGCATGTTATCAAAAGGTCTAGTGGTATATGCATCATATCTTCCGACATACTATTCTTAAACCTTCACTTGATATTGCTACTAAGTATGCCAGAGATATGTATAGCAATATCACTTTCCCTTTCAATTTCACATGTATATATGAAATCTTGGAGCTCAGGATATTTAGATTCCTCATTTGCCGCTACTGATAACTTGCATGTGAGTGGTACTTGTAGTAGTGGTAGCAAATCTTCAGCATGCTTTGGAGTAGATATAAATGGCTGCAGGAGGGTGTGACAAATTTCGGTAGTCTTGTTAATATAACTACGCTTTGAGGAAATGGTGGTATTGGTGGTGTCTTGCAAGACTGACCGGGATTTATTTACCCATAAATCAGCTGAGCCTTTTGTGTCAAAACTTATAAGAAAATAAATCTGTGTGAAAAATTTTACAAAAAAAGTTAGAACCAGAATGGAGAATATATAAGTAGCCTGTACATCTTTTCATTTATAAAAAAAGCACTAAACTTTTGAACTACCAACTACCCAACCAACTCATTTTCTTTAAGCAGAATTACGACATTTGCATGAATGTCAAATATGGGGATGTGAAAAGTCCAGTCTAACCTGACTAGGCTACTGAAGTCGATCTTAATTTAACTCACTTAGAATCAAACTCATTCTGCTATATGATATTTGGTCACCATTACATGATATTATTAAAAGAAAGCAAATTAGCTTATCGGCTCTATTAATTAATCTGTTTTTATTATAATTAATTACAACTGGTCGAGCTGCTTTGTATCTCTAATTATCAAGTAAATAATGCAGGATTAACGTATTTACCCAATTTTATCGCACCTTTCTGTAGTTTCTGTGACCAGCACGTAGAAACTAGAAAAAATACAAAATATAAGCAATACCCTGTAACACCTCTTTTGCATATAATCATTGGAACTTGATTTCTCGAGTCTAATGTTGTCTATTGACTCAAAGACTGACTCCGGACAGGATTTCACATTCTCGGCCTTCATTGTGAACATTGACTTTCAATACTTTCTAAATAAATTTGTGATATGCTTGTCATCATGTTTTGTATAACCATAATAAACTTTTGGGGCCAACTGTACTATGCTGAACTATAATGCAATATAATAACCTCTAATATAGCGAAATTAAGAAAGTCAACACATTATTTCACAAGCACATGCTCTTATTTATTTACTTTCTTTCTTTTCAAAAGCCTTTAAACATCAACGCGAACTTCTTCTGAAGAGTCTGAGTCATTACTGATGATTCCCAGAATATCATGAAAGAATTGATTTGTTTCAGTTTGATCTATATTACCGAAATTCTGCACACACCATTTTACGAAATGAGCCAATTCCTATTTGTCGTGTGGAAACAAGGCAAAATATTAAATCTTTCCATTGCAAAAGACTTTAAGTAACAGAAAAATTAATTATAAAATGTACATACAAAAGCATTCAACATTAATTAAATTTTGATTCCATAACATACCGGAAAGAACGCTGTTTACGGACTTTGTTGATGTTGTTGACATATTTAAGTTTTTTCTGCAAGATAAAAAGTATTTTGTTATAAAAGTTTACTTCGAAATGAAATAGTCTACGAGAGTTTTTTTATAAGTGATAACAAAAGTATTTGTAAAAAGAAACAATGACGCACCTGTTACCTCTGAGCCTCAAGATATCGAGTACTGGAAGAACTTGCAAAGTGTTGTGAAATTTTAATTTGAAAGAAGAGTCTTTTAAAATCAACAGGAAAATATATAAAGTATGTAATAAGGAAGTAATGCTATATGAAAGAATTTTTCTTGTGAGGTATGAGTAAAATATAAAAGTTATTTTTCGCGTTAACAGATCAAAAGTGCACATGAGAAATCCAAATATATAAAATTTTAATGTGTCTACGTGTCTGTTCACTTTTTGCAATCTGATTGGCCATTTTAGGCATCCGTGATTGGATCATTCTTTTTAAAATCAACAGGAAAATATATTTTTTGCGTTAACAGCACATGAGAAATCCAAATATATAAAATTTTAACGTGTCTACGTGTCTGTTCGCTTTTTGCAATCTGATTGGCCATTTTAGGCATCCGTGATTGGATCATTAGATGATCGTGTAACATAATTTTTTGTCAATTTTTGAATATATTAATTTCAAAGAATATTAAGTTATTTGAGGTTATTATAACTTTATGATTCTGTCTGCTTTCTACATTCTGATGCATAGTTATTCATTTTAAGCTACATGTCTGTTCGCTGTTGTAATTTTGTTGGATCCGATATATTTCTATTCCAAAAAATAATGCACAGACGTTAGGACGTGCCTGATATTAATATAATAAAAGAGTAATATATTACAAGAATTATAGTATGATAAATATATATTAAACATATTTTAAAACGTAATTATCATATTTTAAAATATAATTATCATATTTTATAAATATTTTTTTAATTTGTCTTTTTATTATCTAATAACAATCAAATAGTAGTCTAATAAATAGTATTTTAATAATATAATAGAATTTGTTTAAAATAGATAAATAAATATTACCAATATCTTAGAAAGCTTATATATTTAAATAAGATCTTTAGCAAAATCAAAAGCATAGAGGAAACTTGTATTTAGAGAAAATCACGAGCTATCTGTTATGACATCCATGTGAGCATAGCAGAAACTCGTAATTCACGGAAAAATATGGATGTGTTTTTGTTGCGATCATCCAATTAAAGCTAGCCATAGGAAGATCGTATTGGTATAATTTACTATGAGCTTAACTTCGCTCTTATGAAAACTTTCCGAGGAAAATGTATGAAAGCGATTAAAAGAGATTTTCTGTTAGAAAAATCTATATCGGTTAGATTTTTTAATAATGTTAGGTTTAATTATTAGATAAAGCGTTTTCAATCGCGGTTTTTAATTTTAGAGTACAATGCAATTCATTGTCTGTATAAATAATTGTGTAACACATGTGTTCGGAAAGTGCCAGGAACTAGTTTCTGCTATGCTATCCATATGATTAGTTAATTTAAGTAGATCCAAGCGTGATTATTGACCAATCAAATCAATTAAAAAAATTCTTTTAACACGCGAAATGGACTTTATTATTACTGTATTAACAAAAGCTATTCTATTTATTAATCATTACATTTTACTAAACCATGTTATATGTTACTACCCTTAGTATATACTATTAGTTAGATTGTACCACCGTGTTTACCACATATTGAGATCTTGGTTCCTTTTTGTTTGACAAATAATACATATATATGCTTTTATTCAGGTAAAATAAGCCTTGTTAAACGTTTTATATTACTTAACCTATTTAATAAAGGCATAAAATCTTATATTAGTATAATATTCATGATTTAGCAATCTATAAATCTAATATTTGACTTTATAATTTAAACATGTAGAAACTCAACAAACTCTGCCAATTACTAAACACCTACCTTTATTCTTATGAAACTTTTTGGGAAAAGTGATTGAAAATGATTTCTACTAGAAACACGAAGTTTTATTGATAAGGGTAGTGAAATTGCCGGTTTTTAGACTACAACCGTATACAGTCAAATCTCTCTATAATCACTTGGAATGTAGAGAAGTGTGTTAGTTATAGAGGTCAAATTTATTATATTTAATAATAGTTTATTTTAAAAAAAATATGTATATAAAGAAAATGTGCTTATAAAAGAGGTGACTATAAAGAGGTCTGACTATATCAAAATTTTAAATCATATAAATAATTCACGTCGCGGTTTATTTAAAACGCGTTTGTAGATCATAGGAGGGCAGGCGTCTGATTGGCTGATCCGAGTCACTAACTAAAATATAAATTTATATAAATTTGATAATTTTTGCTTCGTAAGTTCACTACGCAAAAATGAGCTTACTTTACTTAGAAGATAAATACTCTATTACTCACAGTAACTTATTTATATATTTTAAAGTATTTTTTGAGAACTTAATGTTTTACTAACATAAGTTCACCATAAGTTGATAGCTCAAGATATTTTTGTTCATACTCCCAAAATTGAAAAACTTTACTTAGAAGACAAATATACCCAGACTATATCAAATTATACCATAGAGTGAAGGTAACTGAAACGTTTTCGGCTAAAACTATTTTATTACGTCAGATTTAAATAAATTTTTATTGCTAGCTACCGGTATTTAATTTAAGCAGGTATAATTAGTTGGTCCGTAACAAGCTTGCAGGCTTATTTTACTTTTCGAGAAAGTGTACATTTAATTTATGTACCTTTTTATGAGATACGATCGATTTGTAGAAAAATTAAATACTGATCAATAAATATATAGCCATAATCAGACTACTGCAACCCACTACCTAGTAAGGATAATTTACCACCTGCGATTAATCATACATCTTCGTTGCACACCAATTGATATTTGTAAAAACATTTAAGGCAAAAGAAAGTAAGTATAATAAGAATATATAATTACATTAATTATATAGTAAGAATATATAATTATGTAGATTATATTATGCCTTAGTCGCCATCTAGGGCTGTATTATGATTTGAATGATTCTAGTACAATTTTCGGGAGTTCCACTGGACACACGGTAGAGTGTTTTCATAGAGACACACGTGTAGTGTGTTTCATAAAATATGTCTACACAGAATGTGTTTGGTTGTTCGCAAGTTTTTCTTGTTAAAAGGACTATTGATTCTGTAAATGGAATCAATAAGGCATCCCTTTATATGCATAACAAAAAGAATCCTAGTTTTTTTTGTACATTTTCACCCTAGTCATAATTTTGCATTATTTTACTTCTGTGAAGTGTTTTCTTACAAAAATTTATTAAAATATTTAGCACAAGGTCATGTAATCAAAACTAGTACGAGAGATAAAATGCATTCTAATCAAGGCATATGATTTGGGAAAATTTATCGAGACAAGAAATAAAAAAATATATATATTTCTTTTGCTAAGTTTTCACTTTCATCACAGGTTTTTCTTTTACAAGAGAATTTCACCTTTCAACAGGAAGTTTCATCTTTTTTCAGGATTTAATTTATGTACCTTTTTATGAGATACGCAACCGACTTGTAGAAAAATTAAATACTGATCAACAAATATATTAATATAGACGCCATAATCAGACTACTGCAACCCACCACCTAGCAAGGATAATTTACCACCTGTGATTAATCATACACCTTCGTTGCGCACCGACTGATATTTGTAAAAACATTTAAGCTAAAAGAAAGTAAGTATAATAAGAATATATAATTACATTAATTATATAGTAAGAATATATAATTATGTAGATTATATTATGCCTTAGTCGCCATCTAGGGCTGTATTATGATTTGAATGATTCTAGTACAATTTTCGGGAGTTCCACTGGACACACGGTAGAGTGTTTTCATAGAGACACACGTGTAGTGTGTTTCATAAAATATGTCTACACAGAATGTGTTTGGTTGTTCGCAAGTTTTTCTTGTTAAAAGGACTATTGATTCTGTAAACGGAATCGATAAGGCATCCCTTTATATGCATAACAAAGAGAAGCCTAGTTTTTTTTGTATATTTTCATCCTAGTCATAATTTTTGCATTATTTTACTTCTGTGAAGTGTTTTCTCACAAAAATTTATTAAAATATTTAGCACAAGGTTGTGTAACCAAAACTAGTACGAGAGATAAAATGCATTCTAATTAAGGCATACATGCGATTTTGAAAAATTTATCGAGACAGCAGTGTGAGACTTTATAATATTAAGAAATTTTCTCTTTCATCATTCGACAGGAAGTTTTGTCTTTTTTCAGGAGTTTTCTTTCTCCAGGGAGTTTCACTTTTTGCCAGAGAGCTGTCTTTTGCCAGGAAGTTTCATCTTTCGTTTTTTCACACTTATTAGCTCTCTGTCTTTGGAGTGATTCTGTTACTTTTATTGCCATCACTAGTGGGTTTGAATTTCTTCGTAAATCTTTACGGCATATGTTTTTCAATCTAATTTATCGACCAACATTACAGATATTTACTAACCTACATCACTAACAATCTTATTTTTTTATTTTATCATTTAACATTGGATAATAGTATGACGAAGGCAGATTGAACACTGATAGAACACATAATCCAGGTAAGAAATTGATTTGGTTTAATTGATTTGGTTTAATGGAATTGGAGTTGAAAAGAATGAATATAACGCATTCATCTGTTGCTAGTGGAATATAATTTTAAGATGAAGGAATTGTATTTCAAAGGATAAACATATGGCTTTTATTCATTTTCAAAATCTGCATAATTGTGAAATGCACTTCCGAATAATAACTATGCACTGATTTATGATTGTATTTAATAAGATACAGTATTTGGGTTTTTTAAACCTTTATACATTACTTACGCTACTTTCTTTGAGATCCTAAAAAAGTATTTTTAGTATACCGAGGTACTTTGGAAATTCATCATACAAAACCAAAAGTCAAAAGTTGTACCGCAGGTCAAAAGTCTTGTCGAAAGCTCTACGAAGATCAGAAACTTCATCAGGAAATAAAACAACAATCTG